CTGTCAGGTGTCTAAGGAGCCAGGCTGCACTGCGCCAGCAGGGGGAGATGGGAGCTGGTCCGGATCCATAGAGCCCCAGCCAGCTGGGACTCTCTGCTCCTGCCACCCGCTCTAGGCCCTGCCATTGCTAGCCTTGGGACACCGGTGCAGGTCCTGCACTCCCGCCCTGCTGCTGCCTGTCCGTTCACTCCCAGCCCCGCCTGTCCCAGCCCTGCAGCACAGGTGTAGATGACCACAAGCAGCCCTGACCCCACGCACCCTGCACTTGCCTGTCTGGGATGAGCAGCGGCAGGGGCAGGGAACAAGCTGCTGCTCAGCACAAAGGAAAAGTGGCTCTCCCCCTCTCACTGCCGGCGTTCCCTGTGGCAGCCACCCAGAGCCCACGCGGGGCTATTCTGCCTCTGCCATGTCCACCACAGAGAGGTGACACAACAGAGAGTGGGCACAGGCAGCCCCGCATGGTTTCCAAGCAGCTGTAGCAAGGAGTGCCAGCGGTGAGAGGGTGAGCGGCAGCTTCTCCCCCGCCCCAGCAGCAGTTTGTGTCCCGCTGCCGCTTAGGCTGTCGGGCAAGTCTGGAGCCAGCGCTGGGCCCAGGCTGGCAGTGGCAGTGAGGAACAAATTGCAGCTGAGCGCAGAGAGAAAAGTAGGTCCTCCCACCTCCAGTGTTCCCTGTGGCATCTGCTTGGAGCGGACGCAGGGCTGCCTGTGCCTGCTTTCTGTTGCCACCGCTGCTGCACGGGTGGCAGGAATACAGAGGAGAGGCAGGACAGCACCGCATGGACTCCGGGTGGCTGCCTCAGGGAGTGCCAGTGGTGGGAGGGGGAGCAGCTGTTTTTCCCCTGTGCTGAGCAGCAGCTGCTTCTCTGCCACCTCTGCTGTTCAGCCTGGATGGGTAAGTGCGGGGCACGTGGGGTCGGGGCTGGTCGTGGTCATCGCTGCCTGTGCCGCGGGGCTGGGAGCAAGTGGGCATGTGGCAGCTGGACGGGAGTCATGTCTTCCGCTGCTGGTAGTTACATGCAGGCGGCGGGGCAACCTCGAGAGGGAGGAAGCTGACTCTGTGTGCCCCGTTCCGCTCCTGCCACCATGGGTGAGCCCGCTAAGGTGCTGCCCGTGTGTTGGGGTCCACGGCAGGCTGGGCAGGACCCTCCAACCCCGCCCGCAGCTTGGAGTAGGGGGATGCGGACAGGGAAATGCCCAGGGTGGAGGATGGGGAGGCAGCTCTGCTGCTTCCTCCTTGGAAATGCAGCAGAGCCCCTTCTTCCCAGGCAGCCCCAAGTGGGTCCCCCTGGGCCACTGCCTGTGCAGCCCCCTTCCCTGCAGGGTGCCCTGGTGCCCCAACCCCATCCAGTCCTCACATCCCCAACCTTCCCCCCCCCCCGAAAATAAATTTAGACATAAATTAAATTTAAATCTGTAAATTATACAGTTTGCAGATCTGCAGTATAAAAAAAAGTTGGGAACCCCTGCCAGCCCACACACTATGCTCCTACCACCCCACTCTGGGCCCCACGCTTCTGCATGCCTGCTCACTTCTACTCCTCTAACCGCCCCCACTTCCTACTGCCACCACTTTCCTGCCCACCCGCTGGCCGCTCTGCACCCTGTGGCTCCCATACCCACAATAGCATACCCACAGACGCATATCCCCACACCCACCCAATACCCCCTGACACCCATGCACACCCCAAACAATATACAAGTAAGACTACATTTTGAGCTTTTATGCAATCACTTCTACATATACAGTACAAACGCACACAAATTGGATCAAAAATATATATTTTAAATTGAATTAAAATATTTTATTATGGGTGTTTGATTTTTAATATATAACTTATTTTTTTTCCCCTAAGATGGCAAACTCTTCCCCAAAGTACTTCTAGGGGCAAGGGGAGGGACTTCTGGTGGCAAAGGTCAGAGGTTAAGGGGGTGGGACTTCTGGTCCCAAGATGGCAATCGGGGGATGGGGCACCTGTCAAGGGTCGGGGCTAGCCATATACCCTCAAA